AAACTGCAAGGACTCGTCCAAGCAGTCACTGCAGGGTCAGCAATGACTGAGCGCAGACAAAAAAAAAAAAAAATCTCATGAAACAGCCTATAGCATTTATGAAAGATAATTGATAGAGATTTAGCCAGACCATCTTACCAATTCCAGTTTCATCATCTTCTTCTACTTCAATAATCTGTGCATGCTGGTTGGGAAATTGGTGGACTGGAAACTGGAGAGGTGGATTTTTTCCTGTTGGGAGTGGAAGTTCAGCTGGTGGCTGCTCAGTAAAAGTTTGGTATGGAAGCTGAAAATCCTCTTCTACTGCTGGCTGAGGTAAGCTGTATCCAGTCTTCAAATTATCTCCTCTGTCAGAAACATCATAGGAGACTTCTGGCTGGCTTATTTTAATGGAATCTTCTTGGTGAAGAATGGAAGGGTCTATGGTCACTTCCTGGAATTGCTCATAGTCACTGTATTCTACACTGGCAGGAGACTGAGTACCTTTGGCTGATAGAATATCATCTGAGCCACCAATCTCAAATGCCCAAATTCCAGGTTGTCCCAAATTGCTGCCCCTAAAAAACAAGAGATTTCTAACTATATATTAACCAAAGCACGCTAAGCACTGTATATTTTGTATTTCAAAAAAATTGAGTTCCACACCGCAAATTACAAAAATAGCTGGGCTAAGGTAATCCTCATGAACTGCTTGATTCAGCCCTAAAGGGGGAGTTCTGAGGGAAAGAGTTGTTGAAGACTGAATAATATTTAATGGCTATTTATCACCTTAGAGAAAGTAAATATATACATATACACACATATACAAGCACATACCACAGGGCTGAATTGTAAGGAGATAGGGAATCCATTTCTGTTTAATATATATTTTCATTTCAGAATCATGCCTTACAAGCTGCAGAATAAAAGCTGGCATCTCACAACTGTTGTCCTATTTCTTGGAATGGGTATTGTGTGAGGAACAGCAACTGAAATTCCCAATATGATTATGAACATTTGGACTGGGAAATGTTACAAGCCTTTCTCTCTTTTTATTAAGAAAAACTATCTGATTAAGAAAAACTATCAGTGTGCATTGTTTTTCTGATAAAAAAACCCTACTATGGTATGAATGTTTCTAACTAAATACATTTTGTTCTCTTGCAAGTTTTATCCCAATAAACTTACATAGGAGCCATAATGCAGTTATTACACCAACACATTGCTTCAGGTGAGATCTGCACTCACACTGCACTTCACCCTGCAGTTTCCACTATGAAATGTTACTCACATGGTATCAACGTTGAACAGGTTCAGTAACTTCTAAGTAATATACGTAACAACAACTAATATATTCACACACATTTGTACTGCAGTGCCTCTTCCTCTTCTATCCTTTTTTATCTTAGTTATCCATTAGGCTATATTTTAAAAAACTATATTTTATAATAGGAAAAGGATTAGGCATATTATAAATTCATAACTGTCTCTCCACCTACAATTTCTGAGTTCTTCATGTGATACAACTTAAAGAGTATTATTGACAGCATTTATAAAATTACTAGGAAACAGTAGAAAATTATTTTGGAAAAAATAATGAAAAGAGCATACTTGCACAGATTCCTAAGGATCTCTTCATCATTAGCAATTATATTGTACGATCCAGCTTTTACCCATAAGAAGTAATTTGTAGAAGGTTGACTAAAGCCAACAATTGCTGGGACAACTGCATTATCATTTTTGGAATGCGTACTATAGAACTGCAAACCATCTTCTGGATAAAGGAAAACCGCATAGGAACTAGAATCAGAAGACGCTAAAACAGCCTGGAATGTGTTTCTCTGTGGGGAAGATTTAAATTTCATTTGCAAAAAATTAAAAAAAAAATAATTAGACACCTAAATGATATACATTTCGTAAAACAAGCCAGCTTGTGTAATTATTTATTGCAGAATACAATAAGCTTACCCAACTTAGCATGCTCCAGTTCCATTGAATTTCAAGTCCCAGAATTCCTAGCTAGTGTGGGATTCTATATTCCCACGCAGGCTGGAAATTCTGGGAATTTCTGAATTAGGAAAAGCTGGAATACAGAATCAAGACCTTAAGGAAAGAAAGCTAGAAAATTTAGATTTATTATAAGAAACATTAAAATTGTTCATGCCAAAGCAGCGATTTCTCTGAACACTGAACATCACAAAGTCATGTAATTCAGAAATGAATATATCGTAAGTCAAGACGGTAAATATGACCAAGGTTAGCCTAAGAGTCATGGAATATTTTTACAATTATATACAATTTTTCTACCATGTTTCTTTAGTTATTCTTAGAATATATCCCTAGATATGGTTAATGAGTCCCACTAATCATTTATTAAGCTGTTTTATTCTATTTCCAAAATGTGCATCACAAAGCATAAAGAAATAATAAACATTATTCAAATGCAACAATAAAATTGTAATTAAAACACACTTAGATGCAGAGAGCCTTGTTTTCTGAAGAGATATGTATAAGATTCCACTTTAAGACTGCAATTCTAAATCTATTTGCTAGCAGATAAGACCAGGTGGATTCAGTGGGAATTAATTCCAAGTAAACATGCACTGGATGATCTACAGTTTCAGCATTAAAAAAATACATTCAATCATTGAATGCGTGCTTTCAGTGGTAGGCTGTCACTTGCTTACCTTCACTTGTAAAGTAGCATCTTGACTAGATCCTGCATAAGGAGCCACAGAATCCCAGGTAACAATGACAACACTCTTTGGATCAAAGGCAATATTTGGAAAGCCCCTTTTGATGTACTTGGTAGCAAGTTGGAGGATCTCAGAGGTTGACTCTTCCCTGTAATATACATTTCCATGTCCACCCGTAGTATCCAAGTCAGCATAAAAGGGAGCAAGACCTCCAAAACTAAGAGGAAATTGTCCAAGATAGTCTTCTTCTCTTGATGGCTCACTCACTGCAATGATGCCGTTTGTAAGAACCTAGTTAAAAGAAAAAGTATGTGTTGCAAATGCTCAAATACAATAATATCAAATAATGCTTACCTCCCATTTTGAAAATATAAAACCTAAGAAAATTGTAACTTTACTAGATCTGAATAATAGGCAGATTGTGTATTTGCCAAAATGAAGGAATCACCCATTGGTCCAGGAGCTCTCTGGGCAGTCCAGATTGTAACCTGAAACCATCACAGCACTGGCAGAGCCTAACCTGAATACAGGTAGTCCCCAGTTTAAGAATGAGTTCCATTCCCAAGGTCTGTCCTTAAGTCAA